AACAATGGCTTCTCCTAAGTGCTGTCCTATAAAATGCCTCAATGCTCACTAAAAGCAAGCCGAGAGATACCTCCATTCCTTAAGAATAGACGCAGTGGCATGGCATACGTGTACGAGTGCGTATCCGTGAGTGTGTGGCTGGTCAACAACTTCATTGAGGAATCTTGTCTTTTGGAAGCGTATGGAAGTATCAGGCTCCATACGATCTAAAACCCCATTTTGATGGACCTCATGGTTGTTGCCAACCGTAAAACTTCTCTTGAGAGGACTAAATGGACAGCAATGCCATAACCAGACATCTCGGACAACCAAAAAACTCACCTCAGTTTTTCCAATACAAGTATTTAGCTATTTAGAGCCCCCATTTTAAAGAAGGGTTAAGATCTAAAGCATGTTGCAATGTTTCATCCAACACCTGGAGATGGAAGATCATGCCAATAGAAAATGTAGACATGGCGAGCCATATTAACTGGAAGGCTGGGCAGGGACAACATTAGTTACAGTAGTAGAGAAAAGGGCCGAGATCCAGAGCAAATGTAGGAAAATCTATCAATTTGACAAATATCAGTTGTCTACCCTAGAGATATGGAAAAAGAAAACCAGCCACTATTGAAAGAAAGCCAGATGTAATATTTGGAGTTAGTCACAAGGTTTGTTCAAGGCAAGGCAGACGTGTGTTTGGGTAAGATGACACAAAAATGGCCTAAATGAAATAACAAAATAAAAAAACATGGCGATAAAATGAATCATGCAAGCTACATGGAGTTCTTGAGTAGGGGTAGATAAAACCCAAAATAACTTGCTGTGGTAAATGTACTGAAAGATGGTCCTACCAAAAGAAAATAATGTAAGGTTAATACAAATGCCGGTCTCATCATTTTCATTTGTAAAATATTTAAAATGCAAGTATTATATTTTGTCCACTTCAACAGGCTCAACGAATGCCTGTTGCAAGGTGTTTAAAAGAAAAAAACTGCTAGAATTTCTGTATCTACTGCTGGCAATGTTTGTAGGCTTATCTAAATAAACAAGAACAAAAAAGCAAGTCTAAAATACACAAACTTATCTTTGTTCATCCTTTCTTCCAGCTGAGGCTACAGTAAAAAGAAGAAGAGCTGAACGAGCCCCAGAGGCTGTGAAACCCCAGTGACGGGTAGCTGTAGCTGGGTAGCAGAGGGTCAACAGACGGGTCCAGAGATGGAGCTCAGCTGGCACTTAGTGTGTGTGAGCCACTTACAGTTGATACCGCCATATAGCGAGAGGAGGAGAGACGAGAGGAGGAATGAGGCTGAGAGTCTGGTAAAAGTCCAGGGCAGTGGAGGCACCACTCCAGGGGCCGAGAGGAACATCTGTGCCCCATTTAGCATTTTGTGATGTTCTATCCATTTAATACCCCATTTGACTCTATCTATCCATCTATCTATCCATCTATCCATCCATCCATTCATCCATCCATCCCTAGCGCTCCTTACAGGCTGTTAAAGGGCGTTGCCCTATGCCACAGAGGTCTCAACAGGCTAAACGGTGAGTTCAAGGATCCTGACCAGGTGTTCCCTTCCGCAGTCAAATCCCTTGGGTTTAAAATGCTCACCCTGCAATCGACCCCACACCTTTCTTCAACGCCCTGTACTTGCCCATTACGCCACATAACCACACAGAGACACACTCGTACATGAGCCTCTCAGCCGCCAAGCGACCTCCGACTCCAGAAAATCGCTGGCAGCCGGCGTCAAGGCATCCTTATCGTCTCCCTGTTGCTTCTGAAGAATTTAATAAAGAAAGTAAGCGATGTCGTGCGAATGTGTGTGCATCTCTCGGGTAGCAGGTGGCCAGTGAAGCGAGACAAGAAGATGAATGGAGGGAGCAGAAGAGCAGTGAAGCCTGGTTGGGCCAGGCCATGGGGGACAGGATGCCAAGTCATTTATTAGAGGCCAAACACACACCTTACCTTCCATAAATGCAAGCAAATGCAATTTTTTCCCGCCAACAAGCACACTCATCCGCACACTTTCTGTCACATAGATGTACACACATACACACGTCTTCACGCTCCCAAAGGCTTTAACAGCACAAACACACACACTGACCTAGTATCTACCACTCGCCATTCATCTAGCCTAAGTAGAGCAACACTAGCCACAGACTAAATCTTTCAAACTTAGTGCGGGTGACTTTCTGTGCGTGTGTGATGTCTAGCTCAAGGCCTGCCTACGATAGGCTGAGCCCCTCTTTCTGTTTCAAGATGTTTATGGTTTTCTGACCCATTTTGTGCCTTTGTCCTCTCTTTCACATCCCTCCTGGTGTTAATGTTCCGACGCTATGAATGTGTGTGTGTCATTGATCCAGCTGGAAGCAGTGTGTCTGTGTGTATGAGCAGTAATATTCCAGGCCTTTCATAATGATTAAAGCCTTCATTAAATTTTCATCCCAACCTGCTGTTTGCAGCTAATGGCCTTTGTGAGCCATACAGCCAAACAATAGCTAGCCGGGCAAAGAAAAGGGATTTCTATCAGGGGTTCAATACCGGCCCCCTCATCATTTCTCTCCCCTCCAACCCGTCCATTTCCCCTTTGCCACTCGTCTTCTTTTCTCTTGCTTCCCTTTTCTCTCTTGCTTGGCCTGGGTTTGTATTTTTTTTTTTGTTGTTGTTTTATTTTTCTGCCTGCTTGTTGGGTCTGGAGGATCTTTTATTAGCGCGTTTCATTTAATCGTGCGGCTGATAATGCTCTGGCTTGGTTTTGATGCCACACTGCTGTGGCACTGTGCTAATGGGGTCTGTGAAGACAGTGCTCTTTCTCTCCATCGCTTTCCTCTCCTTTTCACTCTTTTTCTTTCCCCTCGCACTGCCCTGGCTGAGTCATAAAGATCCATTATTGTTGTTTTTTCCCTTTGCAGCCAGTTCACGAGGTCCAGCGAAGCAGCGAACAACCCAAAACACACCTCAATTACAGTTCAGCTCAACAAACAGACCATTTTTTTTATTTTATTTTCTTTTTTTGTAAAATGTGCCACAACAGGGTTCTTTATCGGCTGGAATAAAAACAACCAGACGGCAAAAGCTCACCAGCTGCTTTGAGAGCCTTACAAAAACAGAGCAAAACAATGTTACGACATCACAGCTTGAAATAAAAGCCTGTTGATGTAGTGGGGGGCATAACGCGTATAAAATGCACCTACCCTCACTGCACTGCAGTGCTGTTCTTTCACCTTTTGGGCTTGATGTCATTTGAGCTTGAAGCTGTGTGTTAGAGGATGCTTGAGCGCAGCACAACAGTGGCTTTGAAAGTAAAGGGAAAGTCTAGCTGCTTAGAGTATAAGAAGGAAAATCAATTTTTAAATCGTTTTTTTTGTTTGTTTTTTTATTAGGTCTTTGTAGGTCTGCTTCCTTTTTAGGAAACTAGATTCTTAGATGAAGCTGTAGCCGTAGTAGCCGAGCTTGTACCTTGTCTTTGCTGTTGCAGGAGCTGTTTAGTTTATTCATAAGCTGGTTCCCTTGGGTCTCCAGGCTCTATAGCATGGATTTAACTGTCAAGTTTTAGTAGGATTTATGGCCTTTTGAACTTTTGAGCAGTTGAAATCACAAATCTCCCTGTATCATATTAAATGTATGGGGTTACAGATCAACAGAAAGTTGTGCATAAAATATCTCTACATAATATTGCAATCATAAAAATTACTTTCCAACCTTGTTATAGAAACTATATTAGATTTGACCTTTAAACACATATATATGCTCTAAATTGGGGCTTTACTAACAATTATTTGTCAGATTGATTAATCTCTCAAATATTTTTTCAATTAATAATCGGATAGAAAAATGATCCCTAAAGAAAGTTTTTTTACGAAATGAAATCAGGTGAAACTTAAACTTTTCCACTTGGAGAGTTATGAATAGAGCATATTGAGCGATGAAAAAGTTTATCTTAAATGCAAAATATATATATATTTTTTTACATTTTTGACATAATTACTGATCTAAATGGTTTACTCTGTCAGCTAAAGTCATGTTTTACAGTGTCTATACTACAGTTGATTAATCAATTATTATATTGATTATTTCAATAATCAGTTAATCACAATTAAATGTTTTAGCCCTAGTATAAATTAAACAATTTTAATATATTTCTGCTTTATATTCTAGTTTTTTTTTTTTTTTTTTACTTTTGCAGCCTCTGTTATGCTCTGTGACTTTAAAGAAAAACTGGATTCAAACACTGCCAGAGGATAGTTGAAAAGCAGATATTTTCTTAGAATATGTCCCAAGAGGTAGCATGGTGTCATAAAGCGGTCTTCCTAAAAGAGAAAGACACCCATTGCCGAGATTTATATCACATTCCGATTGTAAGATGCATTCCAGGGATTTTAACACCATTTATCCACTCGTTATAAATGAGCATTAGCCATGGGCTAAATTTATCTCTTTGCATGACTCCAACTAGTAGCCTGAGGCTCTGCTTGGGAATAAATTGTGGAGGCTACGGGAGCAAAGCTCCGTGGGCCCCTGCCAGAATTCTGGTTCCACTTTCCAAGAAATCTTTATCTAAGTGCTTTAAATCAATCATCACCAATGTTGGGGAATGGGAGGGGGCTTGAGGTGAGATGCTTTTATTTCTGCAAGATGAGTCAATCAGACAAACTCATTTATGAATGTCTGTTGTTGTAAAAGCAGGAAGCATTTGGAGAGTTGTTAACACATCCAAGTATTTTTCAAGTGGCCAGCGTTCGCACATGAACACATGCATGCGAGTGCACATCTTACTTGTCAGGTTTTGATAAATATGCAAAGCATAGCGGACAATAGACCCAAGCAGCTGAAGCTGTCACTTCGTATTCCGGATAAACAAAGGCTCTACTCTTTTCTGAACACGAGTGGGTTCAGTGCAGAGTATATGATGAGGAAGCACAGAGAAGACAGAAGAAGAGGGAAGGGACAGCAGAGGGTGATAAAAAGCGTGGCGCCGGGCCAGAGAAGCTGAAACATCTGGGCTTTCATCACTGACCTTCTGGCTCGTTTTTGATCAGTTCTTCCATCTTGCGCTGTTTCAGTGTGTCCACAACATCTGCCAGGCTGCCCTTGCGTCTCTCAGGGGTCCCCAGGGTACCGGTCGCCGTGCCCCCATCGTTGCAGGGCCGCCCCCCACCTCCGCTCTCCTCTTTGCCTGGTGAGGTAGCATTATGCTGTGGGTAAGGGCTCAGGGAGCTCCCCTTCATGCCCTCATGCTCCTGCAGGAAAGAGAGGATCAAAAATGAAGACATTTAATCAGTTTAGAAATACCCCAAACTTGAAGATGTAAAGCAACTGTAGATAAAGAACATGATGATGAGATTGGGGAGGAGCTGGAGCGGACAAACTCATTATCTCCACCCTTCTTTCCATCTCTTTATTCCCCCATCTCCTGTTCTTATATCCCAATGTAGCAACTTTCATCTCCTGCCAGTTATCTCAAGTTAGGGCACATTTTTACTGTCTCTCTCGCCTCCTCTGGAATCTGCATTTGACTGATTTGGAGGTAGTTGACAGAACGGGCACATGAAACAACAGCGAGACACTGATTGCGCTCTAAACTGTCAACGCTAACTCTTAATCACAAAGCTTTCCATGGCGCCGTTTGAGGGACGTCCAGAGGCACGCAGCTTCCACATCGCGAGCCCAACTTTTCGTCACTAAGATTCATCATAGCGAATGCTGAGGCTGCATCCCCGGCAAACAGAGAGAACGGCAAACAACGGTTTCCTTTTGAAAGAACAAAACTTTGGAGAGGTGTCAAATGATTTCCATAAAAAAAAAAAAAAAACTTTCATGTACACAGTGCGGGCTAAAGTAAAGCTCTTTGCCTTTTTCCAAGTTTTCACCAGGACTAATTATCCGTCAGTGTTGTTTCTTTCACATTTGAAGTACAATGACCTCTTAAATTTCAAGAACATTTTCTAACTGAGCATCTGTGCAGTTTGTAGCCAGATATTCTATTATAATGACTTAATATATAACAACAACTTTGTTTCCTTTTAAAAGAAAAACTTGGACAAAGTTAGATCATTAGCATGTTTATTTGATTTTTGCAATTCAACAAACTTCAATCAACATTTGGGGACTTTATGCAGTTGATCAATTTACATTACAGCTAAATTTTGATTTTATGCTGCATTGGTATTGAGCATCATTTATTCTGATACCCATAGAAAAAAAAAACTATTTCCGTGTGATAAAATTTAACCTCAGTATAAAAACTAAGAACTGACCATTAAGAGCACCAAGAAATACACTTTAGGAGACAGATCAGAGAGAAGCAATGATCCACAGACCATAAGCCATGAAAGAATTTAAAACAAACATATGGAGAAAAGGTGATCATTGGAGACACAAATTCATTATTTTTTTAGCATACTACAAAAACTATATGTGAAAAAGAAAATCTAACTCTGGCCGACAAAAACCCTACATTGAAACACGGTGTTGGAAGCATGTTGTGTGGATCCATTTTTTTTCAGCAGTTACAGAGACGCTGAGCAGAATCAATGTATGGGATGGAGCTTTAACATTGCAGCCATGAAACTGGTGCTTTATTTGCCTGCTCTTCACAATTAGGTAAAGCTTCCTTCTGCTGTGTTGCAATACATCCTCACAAACATTACATAGAACTTTTGCTGCTGTCAATTTTGAGGCATTGTTGTACAATTCATTGTTGAACCCTTGCTGTTCTTATGTTTGCTTTCCTTATTTAAGTATTCGTTTTTCTAACAATTTATTTTTAATTATATTAATGTTTGTCTATTTTGGTTTTATTTAAAATATTAGACATTTAATGCACATTTGCAAATAATCTATTTAATAGGTTTGTATTCAAAAGGTTTAAAAAAAGAAAGTATTGTAAGTACTGTTTATTTATTTATTTTGTATTAATACATTACCATAGTGTATTCATTTATAATATTCACTATAACATTAGAGTGTGACATTTGTGTCAGTAATGTTCTAGTATAGGTGATTCTGCATGGTGGGAGAGGGAATCAAATTCAAAACCAAATCAAATTCTGCTTAGGGCCCCCAAGAGGCTCGGGTTGGATCTTTCAGTCACAATGTGTTTGCCTGAAGTCGCTACGAACTTTGAAGCTTGAACCAATCAACAGCAGGTGAAGGCAACGGTAAGTAACTATTAGCAGGTTAATCTTCGGCCTGGTAAAACCTGTGTTTGTTTCTACAGCCGGCATTATGGGCTTAAGGCCGGCTCAGGCCAATTAAGGGCGACACCAAGAGGGAGGACGCTGCTGCACACACGCAACTAGAACAATGCAGTTTTCTGGTGTAAATGGGTACTAAACACACAGAGCGCCCTCACTCTTGAACTCTGACACGTGAAGGTGTGCGCTGGAATTCCAACTACAAATGAGTCAGTAAGTCAATCAGACAGCCAGTCTGTCAGCTCAGCTCTTTGTGATCACGAGGGTCAATGGTCCACAGGGTTAATCTTTGGCTAATCTTGCTACAGTATAGGGCATGCCATCTGAGACAGCAGCACAGAGACTCTGTTTAATGCCTTGGTTGGATTTTGTGCATTGGCTTTCCAGGTGTATGAAATATAATTTGACGGATAAACTAATTATTAACTAAGAGTGCAGGTGGATCACAGTCAAATATGAGGTCATCCAGACTGCATCTTTACAATGAATTCTTCTACTTCTTATATAAGAAAATATATATATATTTAAAGAAGGGAATAAGTATTTCTTTTCTCACTGGCTTTCAACAATGACAATGCTTTCATTGTCTATGGCAGGGCTCCATAAGAGAGGTCCAGAAGAGCATTATCACTTGGCATTTTCCACACCTCACTGACTCTCTCACTTTAGTTCGTTGTGTTTCCACACTCTGAATAAGTCAGCACGTTCAATAATTCCTCCATCCTCCCCTTGACGTTCTTGCACATGCATCGTCACAGATGGACAGATTGTGACTGCAGCTATAAGGATGCAGGAGTTATGTACGATCTACAGAGAACTTGTTGGCACCCCTGCTAAGAATGTGCAAAAGCTTAAATGCAAATGGTTCTATAATTTCAATGCATTTATTCAGTGGTAAGAAATTCACAATAAAGGAAATACATTGTTTAACAAAATCACAAGTGGCACAGTCATTAATGTCAAGAAAAAAACAGTTATTACCTGAAGCATTTCTGTTAGTATCTAAAATTAAGATGTAAAATGTATACCCTGATCAGAACTTTCTGATATATTAATGTAAAATTATCTTTCACTATAGCTCTTAATCGTCTGCAGCTACGACAAAAAACAGAACCCCACTACTTTAAGCCACAGGGCTCCAAACTGGCTGCATCTGGTTTTTCCTATATGAACGATAAAACAGATGATAAAAGGTTTGAAAATAACTTTGCTGTTGCAGGACAGGAGCAAAAAAAAGTTACACCCAGGGATCGTCAGGTCTAAACAGCAACCAATAGACATTATCCAATTTTTGGAGATGGTGTAAGTAAAGGGACCTTTATGTCCTACAATCGCAAATGTAAACATTTAGAGATTAATTAAACTGTAAATGCACAGACTGAGGTTGAAATAGAGCAAAATGACTTCAGCTTAAAGCAAAGAACAATCATCTCATGCCTTTGATTAAGCAGGTTTTGAGGATATGTAAAGCTGTAATCCAACTGCCATGAGAATTTTATAAGAGTTATTATAATGAACCCTTGATCTAAAACATTGACATGGCTTGTAAACATAAAACAAACCATATTTTACATCCAAATAATGCCTCAGTCTTCAAGAAAACCAGTAGATCTAAGTAAACAGAGAGACTGAATGATCCATACTTCAGAGGAAACGTCAGAGATCGCTTTTTCTGTATGTTTTAATCATGTGAAATGTTATACAGTAGGAGACTAAACCCTAAGCTATTTAGAAGAAGTAATTGGTAGGAGTATTACCAGTAGTTGTACTAATATTTCCGGAGACAAAAAACAAACAAAAAACTATTGTTTCTGTTTTTAACTACTGTAGGAATGACTCTACGGATGACCCGAGGTAAACTAAAGCACTGGAGGTCTCTTCCATCGGTTCATTTCAATCCTCAACATTCATGTTTAGAACTGCCTCCAAATGCTTAAAAACACACTGATATTAGAGCTTTGGGCTGTCCTAGTTAAAGTCCAAATCTTCTGAGATAACAAGAGGCTGTTGATGTGGGAGTGGTGGCTCAATAATTAGAGCATTGCGCTTGGATCCCAGAGGTTCTGAGTTCAAGCCCTACTCCCACCGACTGCTACTCTGGGTCCCTGAGCCAGACGCTTAACCCCCACACTGCATCGTTGGCGCTGTACAGTGGCAGCCCACTGCTCCCTGAAGTGATGGGTCAAATGCAGAGAGTGAATTTCATTGCTTTGTACTTGTGACAGTGTAATGACAATAAAGTTGGATTCTATTCTTCCATGTGTGTCGAATTTACAAATTTCTGCAAAGAAAAGTGGGCCAAAATCTCCCCCATGTGACTTTATCATAGCTGTTATTAGGTTTTAGAAGGGTTACTTTTCACACAAGTGTCCAGGTTGGTTCGGGTAACATCCATCTTTAATACCATTATTTCATCACTTCTTTTGTTAAATGACCCTCAAGCAAAACCTCTAATCAGAATCTATCAGCAGGTAAATCCCTTTTTACTCTGTACATTTCCTAAGGTTTTTAACAGCTCTACCAAGCGGAAAACAAGTTTGTATCTGAATATAATAGAAACACAAGGCTGTTAAGGCCATAAACACTGCAGCAGTCTTGTGATTTTAAAGCCTAAATGATTTTATACTTTCTCTCTAACCACCTGACCAGGTGGCTGCTCTAGACTCTCTTCTTTGCTGCCGTTTCTTCTATATGTACCAGATTAGAAGAGGAATCTGACTTAAAAAAGCGGATTTCTTTGGGATTAAGAGTTGCATCAGCAGCGGCTCGACATGCAAATCGAACAAAACAGAAGGAAGAAGCGTGTAAAAGTCAAAGAAAGAGAAACATCCAAAAACAAGAAGGAAAGAGAGAGAGAAACGCAGTGTTATTAGAGGAAAGGAGAGAGGTGCAAGTTGAAAGAGAGTGAGGGAGAGAGATACAGGCAGACGGGAAGCAGGCGTCTTGAAGGCAACGGTCACACCTGTCACATCCCATTTATCTAATCCAGTGCCTGCTTAAAAGAGCCGCACTCTTTCTTTCGAGAAAGATGTTTCGCAAAACAAAACAAACAGAACAAGAATATGGAGGGGAGATGGAAAGCTGGGGGTTGAAGGGTTGTCGGATCTCTTTGCTCTGCTGTAAAAGCTGCCAGGGAGAAGTCATCAGGCAGCGTCCAACAATAAAGGTCATTTCCCAATCAAGCGGAATTAGCAGGGGAGCCGTGGCTCCTTCAAAGACTCGGTGCGTCAGGGCCCGAACTCTGACAGACAGCCTGATCCTGGAGGCATCCTAACATGCTTATGCTTCTCTGCATATAATCTATGCACCTCGCATAGACTAAACAGAGCCATCAAATATAAAAACAGACAGAAAGAGAGGTTTCTGATGTAAAGGGGTGTCATTCAGATGGGGTGAGCTCCACTCCTGCAGGTTGCAAAAACTTTTCTCATCAACATGCATTTATGCATGAGTACAAACAGAAATTTGGAGAACTGTAAGTGTTCATGCCCTCTGCTCAGTGCATGTGTGCGAGCAGCCTTTTTTTGCCATTCCTCTTGCTATATGTGTGACACCGGCAGTGCACATAGCCTGTAGGTGTGTGTGTGCATATATGTATTTATATGCACTGGAAGAGGCAGGCTGGCAGTGTGGGCGGTTCTGCCTTTAGTTTGCAGATGTCAATTCTCTTCCAAATGACTGGAACAAAGTAAAAATTGCGGCTCACTCTCTTTATCCTTTTACTGCCTCTGCAATGGAACCGAATTAAACAACTTTTGTCTTCTTAAGCTCATCTGAGAGGGGAGGATGGTTTAAAAACACTTTGCTCTTGCCAAAAAAAAAAAAAGGGAAGTCAAAAAAAATAATTTAAATGCTATTTTTTCCAGCAGCTAGCACATATGCTGTTATTTATTCTTTAAAACTCCCTCAGTTTGTTACCCTTCCTCTTTTTCTGTTGCCCGACTTCTATTTATTTTTTTTTTGGAACCACAGCCTGACATGTCTCGGGCTGTGAAAGGTGTACGCGTGAAAAACCATTTAATGCTTGGCGCGTCGCTGCGGATCAAGGCATGGACAATGTGGCAAGTAGGAAGAGCTGGAAACAGCTGCTCGTCTAAAACACACACACACGCTCACACTGAGCATGTCACTGATCGCTCCCTGCAGGGGGGTGAGACTCAGGTCTGCGCCAGGCCTGCCAATCTCCACGATAGACTACTTAACCTTCTCCAAAAATGCTGCTAACACACACATACGCACACGCAGAAAATCCTTTTACATGCCATGGCTAAACACAGACACTGTTAGGTTTGACTTTGGGGACCCTCCGGCTGGTACAACTGAGTAAACAGGCAGTACAGTACTTTACTTATGGTTTTGAAGCATTATCACAACCAAAAATCATATATTGGAAAAAAAGTTATCTCTATTCACTTGCTTTTAAATAAAGATAATAAAGATTCTATTGCCTGTTTTCATCCGACAGCTGTTTTAAATAGCAGTTGGACTAAAAATCTACGCCAGTATATTTTACCACGACCCCTCGCTGTTGACAGGCAAGCGTGTGTTGATTCATTAGTGCATCACTGGCATGAGAAATTAAGTGTGACCACTGTGTCTCAAGACTGCTCAATGGCTGTGTAAAATCTGTCGTACTCGCATGAACACACACATGTAATCACACATCGAAACGATAGGAGGGAAGAAAAAAAAAGAGAGGAAAAGGAGCGTTTGAATAAGAAATAACGCTCGATGAAAGATCGTCATAGTTCTCCGCTGTGTAAGCAGGCGTCTCGGCTGTTAATGAAAAATTTGCGCTCGTCCATTAGCACGTTTATGAAAGAAGATGCTCGCCTCTGCCTGATGTGACAACAATTTTTTTGCAAAGATTTGCAAACATAAACATAAAAGGAATGGAGCAAGATGTCAAAACCTCCAAAAAGCTGCACCCAGGAGTGACTAGGGAAGAATAATTATCGGTTTCTTTCAAATGCAGCTATTTTGTCTTCATCAGTACAGTTGTGTTCTATCTGGGCTGATTTGCTGACCTACCTGAGCTGGTAAAGTAATCAATAAGATTCCTTTTTAGCTTTTTAACTGCGCTCTAAGCAATGACCAGTAAGGGATTCCACTTTTAAGATAACTTTAAGCCAAAATTCCATGATTTTATGGTATGTACATAAATGTTTTTTAGAAAAGCATACATAGGGCACTGCTTTTATTTAAAAAAAAAAAATTGGTTTTAGCTTTCACATCAAGACTATCCAAGACTTTTAGGATAGGAAACATTTTCAAAAAGCAACATTTGTCTAATTTTTGAGATAAGTATCCAAGTGTATGTATGCCTTTTAGCACAACAGGTGGGGGAGGGGCTAACTTATGCAGCTTAATCTACGGAATGAACTTTATACCATTTGAACAATGGTATAACTTCATACAGGTATAGCAAATCTCCTGGTCCTATTTGTCTTTTTTGTATTTTGCAACCAATATTTTTTGTATTTTGTAAATGTACCTACACCAGCCAACAGGAAACAGTCGGTTTGATGTTATATTTAATTGTTTTCGGAAAAATCGTAAAGTCCATTCTTCTTATATTCATTAGCAGAACCACAGCGGTAGAAACCCAATTTTCCTTTAAATCTAGAGTTTGTAGAAAACATTTAAAATGCCATCAAAGTGAAAGGGTTTTATTTATTTTTTTTGCCTTTTTATATGAGTATGAGTAGTATACAGGTAAAGCAGCGGAGCTAAAGGCCAACAGGCAGGCAGAATGAAGAGGTCAGTGTGTAGCTGAGCGCATCTCCACCACCGCGCTAATTCACTATGACAAGATAAAGCTGTGATCTCACCCCCCTCCCCTTCCCACTCCCCTCTTACTGTCCCACTGCTGCCTCACTTTCAAGTCAACCAGCGGCAGATGAACCATTTACCCCCCCTTCAATCACTCACAACAACTGCTTTAGAGAGCAAGAGACTCCCATTCTCATCCCTCAGGGTACTGCCCCCCCAATCAGCAATTGGAAATCTCTTCACTTTCATTTCCTTCTCACTCCCATCCACTGACAGAAAACATGGGATTGGCACTGTTAACCTCATAAAAAAAAAATCCCAACACCCTCAACAGCAACTCGCTACATCAGCCGCCGGTCCCCTACCATCCAAAAATGACACAGTTGTGGATCCCTCTGAAATCTCCTCTTTCCAATCCAAGATCAAACATATATAAACTATAAATGAACCTGGACTAATCTAACTGTTGGCTTCAACAACAGCAGATAACCCAGTGTGTGTGCAGAGTTCCTCCCCAGGCCAGGACTTTGGTTTACAGTCAGCACCTGCCACACAGGCAGAGTCCATGGAGCCTGGGAGGGGCCCATCTAATCAGAGGGCTAATTAAAGAATTAGCTTTCCATTACAACTCCTAAACACTGTTTATTGTTTTATAGCACGTAAGTGTTTATTGTCCGGATAGGGGGGAAAGGTTGACAACCCTTATCTGAGTGTGTGTGACAAGGTGTGCATTTGGCCAAGGGAGGTAAAGTTGGCTCACAATTGATTTCATAAAAATGGTTGGATTTCTTCCATGCAGAGTGTTCTAAAAATACACACGGTTTAGCCAAAGGTGTCATAAATGACATGAACCACAATTGAATTATATAAAAGTTGAATTCTAATGCCAAAATTTGCTGTGTCAAGATGTTTAGAATATCATGACAATCTAAACCACTTTTACTACTGTACTGCTTTAAAATGAAAATGTGTAAAGCAGCAGAGCGCAGGCTAGCTTCCCTACCAGCTATCTGAGCAATTAACCAGCTAATATGAGCTTGATATACTTCTGTTCAGGCATTGATTTGTGATTCGTAAGACTAAGTTATTGTATCATAGTACTATCTATACCTAACCTTTAACCTATATATATATATTCTTGGTCAGTTTGATAACTAGAAATAAAGCCGTTGGGCGAGGGGAGTGCTACAAACTGACACCAACTTTGGCATCTTAATAAAATTCTTTAAGCCATGAGAATAGTTTGTTAGATGATTGTATTGCTATCAAGAGTTCGATTTGATTAAAACCTTGACAGATAGATTGATACCTACTGCCACCCTATTGTACATCAAATGGACTTAAAGGAATGGTACACAAACATCAATAAATAAATAAATCTTGACTGTAATCAACTCCCATCTACAAATTGCTGTTTGTAAAAAAAAGAGTAATTTTCTTCCTTTTTGAGTCCCTATGTGAAGCATAAAGTAATAATTTGCTGGGTGTTTTTCTTGTTGTGTCCCATGTTGGTGTTTGAGTAGTAAATATGTGTTGGACATCCTAAACAACATCCTGAAAGTAAAACTAGCTTCTGAAATCCACAACCCTCCATTATATGCAAATAAATGAATATGAAATTCCCCAAAACTTCATCTCTTTTCAATAAAATCCCTTTAAACTATGACAAACATGCAAGGTCAGGGAGGTAGATTTCTAGCTGAATAGAGCCACAAATGAAAACATTTTTCCATCCAAGTTTATTTGCCCTTATTTCTTTTTTTTCTCCCTCTTTTAACCTCGCAGAGGAGGTGCTTAATGAAACAGAAGGCACCACATCTTAGTGGTCTGAACCGAGGTGTGTCGCCTCAGGTCCAGGTTAAACCCAAACTTTTAGAGACGGAGATGAGCTGATAATCAGGACCGTGGCTTTTTGGAAAAGCAACATCGGCTCTAGTCACCTTTTGATGCCGGCGTCTCCCATGGGTGCACACTTAACCTCCCAAAACCCAAACGAAAACTCCACTGGTGCCCTTACCGTGCTGGGGGGGCTGTCCAAGTGGCGGCTGGGGGGCGAGCGAGGGGACACCTTTCCGCAGTAGGAGGCCAGAGGGAGGTGGATGACACCGCCCAGTCCCTCGCTCTCCTCGTCCTCCACTCGCTGTCTGCTGGTTGCCATGGTTACCTCTCCATCTGTCCCCCCATATGGAGAGGCTGGTCGCTTGGAAGACATCCTGGAAAAGAGTAGGAGATAGAAAGACAAGGGAGAGGAGGGAAAACAAGAGGAAGAGTGAGCAATATTCGAAAGACGATATGAGAGGCAGACACATGTAACATGGAAGCAGTCCCTGTAGATACAACTGGTCTTCTTAAACTCCCCAATGGTATCAGAACAAGACTCGTTTTTAGCCCTTTTGTCTTCAGGTTCGAGCTCCCTCAACAGTCTCAAACTGCTCTAACTTCTTCTCTTCGGTATTTCAATAAATCCCCTCCAGTCAGCTTGTAAATCGCCCAACCGCCTGGCAGACCTTCAAACCTGCTCTCAGGTCTTACAGTATGTTTACCATGGGGGCCATTCAACATTCACTTTTCCAAAGGACAAGGCCATTACTGCAAAATGGAGCCATGTTGCACCGGCATTGTGGAGGAAATGACCACGTCTTGACAATAGCTCTTTTCACAGAGAAACACAGGTTGAGGAAGAAAGGGAGAAAAAGGAGTGAGGGCAGAATGTACAGTGACGATAATATGTATTTATGAAAACCTGTGGACAATGGAGGAACCGGAGGAAAATAGCTGGCAATATGACAGCCCCGCTGTTTGCATTTGTTATCGTGGCTTTGTTCCCTTGAAAAGAGGGAAAGGATATAAAGCCACATCTATTAGATGAACTCTCTCTCGCAAGGTAAATTTGCCTCCCTGTACTTCAGCTGAATAGGGATGAAGTGACTATGCGGCAATAATAGAATTTAATGTGGTTCTCAGCGTCGCCTGAGTGCTTTCAGATGCACTTGTCAGCCTTGAAGCCACTGCGACTATGACCCTGGGTAACAGGCTGCTAACGCTCAGCCGTATGGAGCCAACACATGACAGGAGATGCAGGAACTCTGGGAAACTGATTGTGTTGTTAAAAACAAGTAATAAGCAACAGGCGCTCAAGCTTCAAACTTCTCTAATTCTTTATTTCCTTTGAATTAAAAGGCTTTTTTTGCCCTCATCTGCGCATGTCTCTACCCTGCATTCATACTGCGCCGGTCTCTAATTGGCTCTGTCGTCCTCCTCAGCCTTTCTCTCTCAAATTCTTCCCGTGCTCCCTGCTTGTCTCCGGTAAACTGATTACACTCTTGACTCTATTGGATTTCCTCCGGACTGTACATCTGGCATTCTTCCTAGGAGCAGCCCAGCCCCTAATTCATTGCTTATTTACCTTATGACAGTGGAAACGCAAACAATATTGAGTGCTGCTCACTAGAGTCGATGTAAAGCAGAACTTTATCACATCTCAGGAAGGTTAGTCAAAATAAATAAACTCCAACTTTTTTTTTTCTTATAAAAGGCTGCAGTTTAACAACTTTCAATGTTTCCAAAGAGACTTTTACTGCAAAACTGATTGATGACAGATGAAATCTGTGGATAATATCAGATATTCACAGCAGTTTTAAATCATTTGCAGTCTCTAACAGGTTTTCTTCTTGCTTAATAGTAGCCTCCTCCCATCATAATGCTGCCATCGTCATGTTTCAAAGTGGTTTATTAAGGTTGTATTTAAAGAGTTCTGAACACCTTCTGTCATGTTTGCAGTGGCCTTTGTACGGCAATGGGATCTTAATTTCCATTGTTAAAAATTTACAACATATTTAAAAAGGTAAAGGGAGGAAAAAAAACTGATGGTAAATTTCCCCAGGCCTCAATATACCTGTTTGATGGATTTTTATGCATCATATAAGGCCATCTGAGGCACGCATGCTTAGAGGTTAAGTTAAGTGACGATTTATAACAATTATTAAAACAGTAGAATAAAAGAGAAACTAAATCAGAAGAGACGTGATTGACTTTACAGAAAGAGTCTGGGTAGCAGCTTTAACTGTTAAGATAATAACAACTTTTTATCATTAATTAGAATGTTCCTTTCATTTAAATCCTTCTTTTATGACTTTATATGACTGGATTCCAGCTTCTTTAAACAACATGATGCTGGACTTGGAGTGATTGCACTCATAAAAGGACAGCATGTCCAGAAAAAGTACAAGTGTAGCAAGAAAACACATCAACAGGAACAGCTGATTTCTTTATCTCTTCTGGACGCTCCGCCTAGCTCAGCGAAAACCGCAGCCATAAAGGGCCGCTGGTGATTTTCCTTTGTCTTCATGACAATCAAAGCCGTATCTCTAGATCTGATTGACATGAAAAACTGAAAATGACTTGCACAAACAGTTATGATACTTGGGCTGTAAAGGGCGCGTGTGCTGGCGCCGGTGTTATGTGGCGTTTCCAATGCAAGCGGCAGACCCAGCTGTACAAACTGCCTTTTGAGCCACGCGGCACTCACACACACAGAGAGACACACATGTGTGAGCTCACATAGAACAGAGACCTGAACACTGCTGGTCTGTCTTCATCGCTACCTGTTTACTTTACCTCCTTTCACTCACTCACACTAAGGCCTTTTGTACGGGACACAAACACACAGCCCCTTGTGCCCCTGCATACACCTCTGTCTGGCCATGAGCTGACACGCAGACCTGAGGTCAGCTCTGAATCCTCTAACCTTCCCTAGAGTTCCTCATGTTTGCTACAGAATGTCCTCCGCAAAGGTGGGAGGCTTTTAATTTGGGTTTTATAATTTTACTATCCATCATCTTACCACAGTAGCTCCCCTGGCTTATCCAAATGAACTGGAAATCCAAAGTTAAACATTAACACAAAAAAACACACGCATATACAGGGAAGGCAAGAACTGGCTACCAGTGTCAAGGTTTAAAACGTTGCGGTTTGCAAAACTGCAAAGATTTCCCGTCTTACTGCTTCAGGGGTTTAAAGAACTTTTTTATGGGAAGCCAGAGAAAATAAAGGACAGATTTAAGTTTTCAATGTTTTTTTTTTTAAGAAAAGAGAAAAAAGCAGCGCAGCCCCTCCCTTACCTGTTGCTTAACACAACCGGTTAGCTTTCTCGTTAACTTTGCTTTGGTTTACAAGAAAGATAAATTCAGCTGTTAAGAGACATGGCAATAAAAAAAGAGACGTTTGTAATGCTAAACTTAACAGTTTTTTCACTATAGTCTACAGCCTATATGTCCATCCCTGATCTATTGCTGTGCACTGCAGGTTATCCAGCTCAAGTAGGCAAAAAAAAATATATATATCTAGCTGTTTTAAAACTTGTCTGATCTACTCAGTGTAAGGCTCTCACATAAAGAGAAAAAAAGGGAAGAATTGCTAAAGTTCTTGTCTGCATCGTCTATCCCACCATCAGATGCTACAGATTGGTAGTAAACTGAACTTAAGCTGGGTTCTTAGAGTCCAAACATCACTCCTAAAAGGGCTGAATAGTGAAAACGGTTAATAATCTGCATGAAAAACGTTCATATGTTTAGTTTTTTTTACTTAATACATGTTTAACTGTAGAAGCAAAAAAAAAGTTCTGACATCTTAGCAGTATAAGGAATAATTGTTGGATTAGCAAAGTATCAAAGATCAGATCTTCTTCCCCTCCCTTAGCATCGCCACCTCTGCATTGGGGTACAGCCTGAAACGCTGAGGCCTTTCACAGCTCCTTTCTAACCGCACCCCCCCCTTCCTAATTTTTCCTTTGAAGTGGAATTACTACACAATTGAGCACAGCGGGTGTGCAGGTTACGCCAACTACTTCATTTAAAGTTTGGCAGGCCTGTCACACTGATGGAGGCCTGTAGAGAAAGCTGTGAGGATTTACTAAAATAAAAAAAAAAGGATGCAGCTTTATTAAGCCGATAAATCAACATAGTTGTTCAGGTTATAATTGCAGCATATTTGCATAATTTTAGGTCTTGTTCTGCATTATAAATGCCCCCTGAAAAAAAAACTCTTACACCACGCACACACATGAAACGGCGCACACAGCGAGACGCTAAGCTGAGATTAAAACGCCACTTCCCCTTGGCTTTTTGATGATTAGTGGCTCCTCAACTAAGTCTCTCTCATAACGCATATGTCGTCCGCCGCTAAGTCAGTAATCGGACAGCGACGGACGTCCATTAACGGCCCAAGTAATCGGCATAGGCTGTGGTTAACCACTCACAGCGATCAACGCACACACTTTCTGTTGGCAAGAAGTGAGGTTCGAGAACAGCAGTAAGAGAAAACGTCAAAGAGAATGAATCAGGCAGGAGAGAAAGATTTGTTTAAGCATCACTGAGGGTGAGGGGGGGAGAAAAGACAATGCAATCGATGTAAAGATGTCTCACACACATACAGTACACACATGGTGTGTTTTGCTCAGCGTGTCTGGCTGCTAACATAATCATAGCGCTAACTGCTCTTGTTAACTCCTCTACTCTGAACAGGCTTTCAGGGAGCGTGGGAGCCTCCTCTGGAGAATTCCACAGTGGAGAGAGTGTGTGTTTTCTTCTTTTAAAATTAACACTGATTGTTTTAGCCAGAAAAAAAAAAAAAAAGTCAATCCCATCCATCGCCTGCCCTTAAAATCATTAAAAAAAAAAGATGCAAGGAGGCTTAAAAGAAAAAATCTTTTGTGTGCTGAGAACTGTCACTCAGGTGTGGGTCTATCTCCGTGGAAATGTGAGCCATCTTTTGAAATTGCTCTCTGAGGGAAATTGGAAAGGGGATATCAAAAATAGTTGAGCAGAATGTGCCTTTTTAGATAAGGCGCCCTGGGTGCCTTTTTTGCCTTCGAGGAGCCAACCGCAGCATTTACATCCATATGACACCTCAGGCAGGAATTTAAACAAATGTTTCCCCCACGCGTGTCGCGATACCGCTCCCTTTATTGCTGTCATTTTTCCTCTTCAACTTCCGCTTCTCTTTAAGCTTTAAAACCAAAACATAAATCCCTATCTCTTTCAATCCTGCATCCCTCCGTTACCTTGTTGAACTTCTGCTATCATGTCTTTTCCTCTTCATCCTCTCTGGTGCCATCATACTCAATGATCTCTCTTCAAGCAATCAGCCGGTTGTAAGAATGTCTCTCCAGACTCTTAAGGATATTGCCTAATATCTATTTATAGATTATCCTATTGAAAAATGGGAAGAGTGGAGGGGGAAAAAAGTTTGAATTAGTGATTTCAAACTTTTAAAACATGCACGTATTTGTTTCTAACACTTTTGAACATCAAGACTTTCTGAATCGTAAAGGAAAAATAACATTATGTCACTGAGTGTAGGTTTTCTGCTAGCCAGAGATGAAGTAAAAGCTAAGAAATGCCAGTAGAACACTCACAGGTTGAACACAGACACACCCACAGAGGCGCAGACACACACTCAGCCTAACAAACACAAAGCGGCCTCTGTGTGGTGCCCTAAATCGCCGGCCGGCAGCCCAAACCGTGTTTCCTGTCCAGCTTAACCACAAAAGGCAATAACACACAACCCTAATGTCACCGCTGTTAATCACACACACACACAAATGCATGGAGGGGAAAAAAAAAAAGTCAAGACGTAGGCTAACTCATGCGGCCTCTGGGAGAACCATCCTCTCCTTCTCTGCTCTCTTCATCCACCCAAAGATTTAGTCATCGCTCCTCATACTTTCCTCTTTATATTTATGCTTTAACACTGAGTCAGTGGACATCACGACTGTCGCTGGCATTCTGGCAAAGAAAGCATGGGGGGCGGAGGGGGGAAAGAAAAGTCTGCTGCACTCTGCTTGTCTGGCTCTTGAAGCCCAAACAGCTCGTGGGAAAAAAACTTGAGTGTTGCTTTAGAAAAAAAAAGAGAAATAAGAAGCAGAAAGACAACGATGGGGGAGAAAAGGGGGGGAGAGGAGAAGTGCATCCGGCGGATGCTGACCACCGGGCGCCCCTGGTGTTTTCCCCAGAAGGATAATATTCATTGAGCAAGAGTATGGAGTTTTTACTATTGTCGAGCGGGGCCTCTGTTTTTGCCGCGTTTGTTAAGCAATCCATAAAGGAGTCGCAGCATTTGTCTCAGTGTCAGCGACTTGGCCTGCTCTCACAACACACACACATCCACAGTGTCCCAGCTGGCTCCTTCCTATTGTCCCACACTTTGAAAGTGTCCCACCTCACCCTAAACCATCCTGGCACTTTTCTCCCTCACTACCTTGGGAGACAGCAGTACCCTTATAACGCTTGAAGACCTGGACACCGTCTCCTATTGTTTGTGGAAGGACAGGGAATGGAATGACTGGAATCAAGAGTTAAAAGGAGGATGGATGAAGAAGGAGCAGAGATTAAAATACACTACTTTCATATCCAGGTGCACACAACAGGAACGGCCTTTTATAATATTATCAACATTTGGTAGCCTTGAAAAAGAATACCATAGTTTCATGGTATTCATACAAAAATGTATAAACCCTTTGTATCTAAAGCAGAGTGCAAACAATATCACCCTCTGCTGTTTAAATATTTGGATATAAAATATGACTGTTAAAATGTAATTTTTTGCTTGTTAATATGATTTCAATACATCCTTTCTTTAGCAAACTAAAGCAAAAAGCCTTGACCTGACTGTCGTTTTAGAGGAGCGATACACCTTTTTATGCACGCATCTGTTTTTTTTGTTAGGAGACGCACCTCCAAAAACAGATAAAAACTGTCCCTCTTTGAATTTGGCATGAAAGTGTAGCTTACTTTCAGTCGGCTTAGCAACAGGTGTGGGAGGGGCAGTGATAAATTACCTGCTGATCTACACAGCTAGAGATACTCTGGATACAGGATCCCTCTCGCAGACCGGGTATCTCTCGAAGGCGGTAAGCGGGAGCTGTTGGTGTTTCCCCTGCTCTGCTGACACTGGAATTCACCCAGCTGACATCTGACCTCCACCCAATGACCCTGTGTCATATGACCCAACACTAGTTAGCCAGGAAGGGTTGGGGGGGGGACACCTTTGTCTGCTCACACACTTTCCTTCTCCTACGCGGTCACTTCTGACACTCTGAAGCTCTTGTCATCACTCTCGCTTTCTTTCATCCTGTCCTCTCTCATCCAGATCTAACCACAACGAGAAGAACAAATGCCGCCTATGCAGAACCCCCCCTCTGCCCCCTCAGAGGGTCAGCTGATCAAACTGAGTTGGGGCACTTTAGCATTCTCCTTTGGTATTTTTCTGTCTGTCTCTCCATTGCTTTTTCCTTCTCTCTGCCCCCCTGAAAACTGCTCTGCGGATGGAGACACGGTTATCAAGGCTCTCTGGGGACAGACAATATGGCCCAGACAATGGACTCCAACCCAAGGTGGTGGTAGCGGTGGTGGGTGGATGGGGAGGAGGGGGAGAATAGGGCCACAGGGGAAGACAAGAGAAGAACGGCGCATTAGTTTGCAGAGCACGGACATTCGGCTCAATTACTCCACTCTCACAAATTCTCTGTCTTCCCCCCAAACCGCTTTAATCTCACCCCCCCACACACACACTTTTACATGAAGTACAGCAACACTTAAGCTGGAAGCAGAAGCGCTCGCGCAAATTAGAAACAATTGATCAACAGCTGCAAAAACGGCTTTCAGATACGGAAAAAAGTCAAATGAAAAGTGAAGAGACACCGACTGGAGGAGTTTTACACAAAAACATTCAGGCTCTATAGCAATCAGTGAGAATTTCAACTTTTTATTTCCCTTTTTAAATCATCTACGATATCAAACTAATGCTATTTAGTCATATGCATCAACGCGCCTCATTTTATGAAGTGCTAATTGTCCGTTTGAGTTAGGATCCGAATCTTAAAAGCAAATAAAGCTGCAGCTGTGGAGCACATCCACATTTTAATTACTAATAATGTTTTTTGTTTCAGTGCAACCCAGACTATTCCTCCTAACTGCGCTCTGATGTCAGATTGCATCCTACAGCGTCCTGCTTAAACTGTTCAAAGTGTTGACATGTCAACTACTGACACACACACACACTCATAAAGCGAGGGGACAAATGGAGGGGTGTGAAAATCCACTGCCGCCTTAACACCACCCTGACAGAGACCTCTTCCTCTCCTCCTCATAAACCCCCACGCCCACCCTGCCTTCTTTTCGCTTCATCTCTGGGACTCTCACTTTTCTGTAAAAACCTGCTTCTGTCTGCAGGTGAGGAATGTGTCAGTTTGACCACATTGTCCCTTTATTTCATTTCGTTTAGCTAGTCTAAAAAAAATTACTTTTTTTTTTTTATTTATCATCTCCTCGTTTCTTTGGTTTTTCCTCCTTTTCTTTCCGCACGTGGAAAAATGCGGGGCCATATTTACAGATTTGACTAAATTGAACCGTGCATTAAAGTTCTGCAACAAAGCAGAACCGTAAGAAAAGTAAATATTAAATAAAATAACAAATAAAATAATTTAAAGGCAAATCCTTAAAATGAAGTCAAATTAATTTGATTTTTTCCCTCTTTTAAGCCAAAAATAATTTCCAAAGTGAGTTAAAATTTAGTGGATTTAACAGGAAAATTAACAATAAGAGAACCAAAAGTCTGAAGAGGAAGTATGATGAAGAGGCGGCATGGGTGAAGGAGGCAAGCGGACACTTACTGTAGAGCATCATTGCAAACCTTTGGGGCTGGAAAACACACTCATACACACACATATACAGGAGTACAGTGCAAGATACCCCCCCTCTTTCAATCTTGTGTGAACACATCCAAATATGAACATGCAGAAAGTCTGAAACCCGGCCGGAGCCTCGGTGATGGAGTGCATTACTGGAAAGCAAGAGTTTTAAGCGCTCTCCTCCTAAGTCATTGTAATCCCTGCATTTATCTCCATACATTCTGCTTTTTTTATGTAATCCCTTAAATGTTTAATTCCTTCTAGCTGTTGTTATCACCCCCCTTCTCTCCCCCTCTCTTTTCTCACCCACTTTGCATGGATTGAACGGTTTATTAAAAACACATTAAAACGAAGGGCCCCACAATCCAACTCAGGAGACCCAAGTTTATCTCAGAACAAAACATTAGTTTCACTGGTGCAAAGACAGAGACTTTGATGCAATAAAAGTCAAGTGGGTAAGAGGAGAGAGGAGTGTTAACCCACGTTATGATATGTGTGAGTTAGAATTTAAATGTATTAGAGTATAATCTGCCTCTTGCGGCATGAGGATCAAACAGGCATTATTTCAGGGGGTGAAAGCCACTTGTGTTGACAGTGCAGGGTTAGAGGGTTCACACCTCTAAATGAAGGCAGGCCTGCACAAACAACAGAGGAGCACAGTGAGATTAGTATTAGCATAAGGAATAACAACAAGAGGAGTGTAGAGATTGAAATAGGGATTAATATTTTTTTTTCATGCGTTTAATTTGGATTATGAAGAAAAAAAAGAAATGTATTGGAAGAGGCTTTATAAATACTGATTGGAGAAAAAAAAAGATGGATTTTCTTCTAAAGCGTCAGAGAGCATCTAAATTTACCAGGCTGTTAGAGAAAGAGCTGACGGGGAAGCAGAAGTAAATAAAGTTGCGGTGAAAAGCGGAGATGAGATGATCAGAGGAGATGATCACACATTCTGACCGACACATTTCGCCTCTCCTTTCCAGACTGGTGCGCGCGCGCTGTTTGTAGTTAGTCTATGGAAGAATTGATCTGAAGGAAGTTTTAGTCAGGACAGGGGGGTGCCATCTGTTATTGAAGCTTCAACAAACACATCCTCAAAACGTTTAGAGCTGGATTTGCCCCAGATTTGCATATGTTATCAGAACTAAAAGGAGAGGAGTGAATCATCAACTCTATCTTAACATTTCATCTCAGCCACAGTTGGAGTTAAACTCCGCTCAGTTACTCAACACAAACACACGACAACAACACTAACTCAAGTCTTTTCTTCACACACTTTTACACATTTGCTTCTTTTTATCCTCCGATCTCCCACTTGTGTCCACTTTGCTTCCCCTGTCATCTCCATGCGCGCGTATGGAGCGCAAAGCGCAGCGCAGCGCACCGCGGCGCGTCACGTACCTGTTACACTCCTGAGGTAGCTCAGGCTCAGTGAGCATGCTGGAGTAAGGGTCCGTCTCTCTCGACAACAACAACATAAAACAGTCCGACAATGCTTCAGATGAACAAGGTTAGTCTCCCCCAAAACAAGACGGGATTGAAGTGATCCTTCAACCTCTCACACACACTGCTGTTTCTCTCTCTCTCTCTCTTCTCACACACTTCCAGCCTCACACCCTCCCTCTCTGTCTCTCTCTCAGCCTCTGTCCCTCCTCTTCTCCCTCCCTCGCTGTAAGCTGTGAGATCTGGGCTCAGCTCTTAAAGCGACAGAGGCAGAGTCTCCCTCGCTCAGAGGAAAGAGAGAGAGAGAGAGAAAGCAGAAGGGAGGGTCTACTTGACCAGAGGTTCTGTTGGTCCATCAGTGTAAATGCACAGCAGTGCTGCCCCCTTCCTCAGCTCCATCCTTCATTCCCTTTTTCCTCCCTAACATTTTTTTTTCACACTTTGATGTAAATTTGCCAGAGGAGTGTTTTCTTTCCCATAACCATACTTTTTTGTTTTAGAAACAAAACAAAAAAATATGAATTTGCCATGGAAACACGCTGAAAAATATAATCCAAGAAAACAAAAATAGTGTTTCTGTCACTAAAGTTAATCCCAAGTCATTTAAGGTTACAAAGCTAGAGAGCTGAAGGCTGGAATATTCTCAGCAATCCATGTTTGATTACCAACTCTTAGCACTTTTTAAATGTGGATTCTGAGGCAGTACATCTTTATAAGAGGACGCATTTTTACATTAGAGCAGGAGTAACCAATTAAAAATCAACGGGGTCCGAATAAAGAAAATCATCAACCAGTAAAGGTCCGGAGACATTTTTAATTATAATCTGTTACTTTAAACCAAACTTAACACTGAAATAAAATGAGGTGTTTATGCATCCATGTTATAAATTAACTTTTAAGATAAATAAATAAATATATATATATATATATATATATATATATATATATATATATATATATATATATATATATATATANATATATAGATAGATAGATAGATAGATAGATAGATAGATAGATAGATAGATAGATAGATAGATAGATAGATATAAATAAATAAAAATTCCCATTTTAAAATCTAAAGTGTTTTTTTTAAGCAGAGAATAACAATCTTTCAGTTTGGTATAATGACAATTTCCTGATTCACATTTTTATAAAACACCTGAACTGACCGTTGTTTGTTATTGTTATTTTTTTTTTTTGCTTTCTTGTTTTATGGCTTAATGAGAGCAGTGGGTTTTAGGCTGCCCTGCAAGACTAATAAACCTGGGTTTAAAAGCCATTCCAAAGCGCATACCAAGGTGCTCATTCGTGAGCCTGGATCCATGTTTATTTTTGATAATGTTCATGGTGGAGAATCCTGCCTCACAGCAGCAGGTTGAGCCAAACATATTCAAAATGTGCAGGGTCATCGTAGAGCACACCATTTAGCTTGTCTGTTACCAATTCACAGCAGTTCTTCCAGCAGTCCACACTTTCTTTCACTTTTTCTCATCATCTTCTCCGTCTTTCCCATCGCCCGGCTTGCCACAGGTTTGGCTGCTGTGTCTAAAAGCAGCTAGCAGCAGCGACCCAGACTGGACCGCCCATTGAGTAATTTGTATGACGTGTAGCCTGGTGCCGGCCGCCATGGAGGAAGGGGCGGAGCTAGATGGGGGACCAGGGGTGGCCATGGCCACCCTTAGCCAATCATTGGCCACCCCTGTGGCCACCCTACCATTTTTAATACACTACTCAAAAAAATTAAAGGGGCAACAACGAGACGACCATCAAAACAGGAATGGCCACCCCTCAGTGTACATTGGTTATGGCCTGGCCACCCTTATAAAATTTTCTGGCTACGCCTCTGTATGGAGGGCTTTACCGTACAAACAGGAGAAGCGGCGCAAATTAATTTAGACACTGCCGCCAGACAACATGCGGTATTTTATAAATGTTTTAAATCAGGCTGGGTCCGGATTTGCCAGCAAGTGGGTAAGGATCCGGACCCCGGTCCGCTAATCTGTGACGTCTGCATTAGAGTCACAATCTGACTGTGATGAAACATGTAGTAGATGTAACATTGGTACAGATGAGGATCACGACTGTGTTCACAGTCCAAATGTGTTTGAATTAACTCTGATGATTTTTATGTCCTATGCTGCTAGAGACACATCCTAAAGATGACATAAATTGACAATACTTTAAAAGAGTTAAAGTCGGGTGCAGGGCGTTTCCTTGAATTCCGCAAAAGCTGAATCAGAACCTCCGATTGCTTCTAATAAATGAGAGCAAAGCTAAAAAAAAAAAAAAAGAAAAGAAAAACATTGCAAAAGGTAAACTCAATGAAAGATTGAAAGTTTTATTTATTGTTCGAGGAAAGCAAATCAGCCCCGGCAAAAAAACGTTTCAATAATATGTGAAAAGGACATTAGCAGCTCGTAGGGGTGAAATGGTAAAGGAATATTTACTGGAAATGTTCCATACAGCTCTCTCCTTTTGGAACGCACGTGTACCAAATGAATACAGCGTTGTTTTAGTTCTAAACACACTGAGAATACTTCTGTACAGCACTAAGTGTATAGAGGTGCGCTCTGTCGCACAGCTTTACAGTCTGCAATTCATGGAAAGTTAGGGTTTAACCAGCGAAAATGACAACAGAGAAAGAAAGAACTAAAGCAAAGGTTTTTCAACATAGTTTTTTTTTTTTTTTTTTACTGAACTTCAGTAATATCACTGGTATAGTAAAAAAAAGAATCACCTTAGGTACAAATCCTTTTGCCTGAACTGCAAAAACGATCTAGAAATAAGTCAAAATTTCTTTAATTAAGTGTATTTAGCCTTAATTCGAGTAGGTGAATAAGATGATTTTCCAATGGAATGAGTATTTTTAATCTTAAAATAAGATAATTAGATAATATGCACTTGTAATAAGACAATGCAGTTGCTTTTTCATGTTTTACCTGTAAATTATCTTGTTTGATTGGCAAAGTGTCTCCTTTATCTTCTCAATTCAAGAACAAATACATTTATTTTAAGAAAAATTACTTATGTAGATTTAGATTATTTTTCCAGTGTGTTGTAGTATTTAAAGAGCCTAAATTGCTGCAGAGCAGCAATTTCCTTTTGAGGAGGGGAGAATATCCCAGCAACCTTTAAGGAGCTTTAAAAGGGATGAAAATATTTTGTTTTCTTGAATATGTGTGCCATCATGGTTCAAACATTCTTAAGTAGTTTTATTGTTCAACAATAAAAACAAATTCGTGTTTCACTGTTGATTTGAAGTAAGAAAAATTATTCTCCTAAACAGAGCCTCCCCAACATGCACAGTACGTATTACATTTGTGAACCGTTTTACACCTACTGATGCAAAATAGAGATATTTCTCTGAATGTTTTCACCCAAAAACTGTGAAAAATTTTTTGCACTGAGCAAAGTTCTATATAGAACATAAAAAAAAAAAAAAAATAATGTTGAACATTTGGAATGCTTTTGCTAAATTTTACATTTTTATGCCGCAATCAATCTATCATGATGACAATAATGTGCTTCAGACAGTGAGCTCTTCACATTTTGGTTCCTCGTGCCTTAAATCAGATACGCCCAAAGCAGAGATGAAAGAGCAGCAGCACGTGTGACATCGGACCGTTGATGAAGTGAGCATAGCAAATGAGGCTGAACATCTCAGACAACTGGAGTGAACTGTTTAAACCCTTTTAGTCTGTTTTCTTTTATTTTACATCACTGCCTCTTAGCTGCCTGTTGGAAAGTGTCCTCAGTCAGGTGAAAAATTATCTTAAAGTAGTTCATGAATAAAATGTATAAAAGAACAATCTCATTATGAAAACATAAATTGGATGGATGGATCATTTCAAAGGTATATGTTATCTCTGGTAATGCCTTAGACTAACCCATGCTTAATTGGTTAACTTGTGTTGTTCCTTTCTCTTTCACTGTCCCTTTGGTTCCGGAGCGTTAGCAAACCAAAGCCGTTTTAGCTCAACTTTGATACACATCATGCTTTTCATATGATTGGCTATGCTAACAGAATAGAGCAGCAGAACAGTGGTTGTGAAACAAACCTTGAAACAAGATTAATATAAGGTATCCTGAGGTTGAGGCCTTTGAATACCTTTAATGGCTGCTGAATTCCTAACAATGCCATCTAAAAAAGGTCATGTTGCTTTGTTAGAATAATTTCTTTATTTTCTTTCAGTTTAAGCTTGAAGGGTTGGTTATAATAAAGAAAAGAGGATATGGTAGCTGTAAAATGAAAGAGGCGGGATGAAAGATGGTGATCACAGTTTGCTTTATCTCTGCCTCCAACCTTATATGTTTTAGTTGTACGGTACTGTGCATGCTTAGATGCTTTAAAATCTCCTAAATGGAATTTCTAATGCATTTAAGAGAATTAATAATGGACCTCTGCGTGTTATTACGTTCCTGTCATTACGATTTAGCACTGATGTGAACGTGAAGGGGGGAAGCCCCTCTTATACCATGGCTACTTGCCAAATACCAAATGTAATGAACCTGAATTCATGTTCTCTTGAGGCAGTCTTGAGATAAATGTCATTTTATTACTGCACCAGCATTAATGTCAACATATTTGAGCAATCAATCTCCATCTCTTTATGCAGTCACTTCTGCACTGCTGTGTTTAAGCATAGCTCTAATATTTGTTACCGTCTTTTCAAACAGAAGGGGGGAAAATTCTTCTATTCACTAAAAAAGATATAAATACACAATATCTTCCTTTTTATAACCCTTTGAATTGAACACTGTGACTTGCAGGGTATAACCTACCAGGACTCAGCTGAACTCTCCCAGCTGGGATTAAGCTGAAGATATCTATAAACTCACACAGACAGCACACATATGCAACCTGACTGAAACCTTGACCAATCCGCCACGCCCTTCATGTCCTCAGGTGTGTGTGCTACGTGCATGTGTTTGCCTTAGCAGTGCATGCTGCTTCTAGCCCTTAGAGCTGTCAGTCACTATTAAGGGTGTGTGGTCTGGGTGTCACACATATGGCCGATCCAGCTATTGTTCTGGAGAGCTCAGAGAAAAGCGGAGCTGACGGGCTGCCACTTCTGCCGTTCTTTAACACAGACACACACACTCAGAAAGTACCACACACAAATGAAGCACAGATAATCAGTCTTGTTCCTAACATGCGTTTGCATGAACTAGATGCTCTACACATTCATGGGTGATATCTGAAATGTATTTGTGAATTT